ACTATTTTTTGTTAATTTACTTTTTAAATGCAAACTTTAATTTTGTAATTTTGAAATAAATGTAGCACTTGCAATTTATAAGTGCATTTTTTTCCCATCTTTCTTGTATTCTTTATATTACTACAAAGTACTAATATAACTTACAGTAGTTATACAAAATATTAAAAAAAAATTAAAAAAACACTAACCCGACCCGGCTCGGCCCCCTCAACCCGTAACCCGTACGGTTCATTTTTTATCCGGATTAACCCGAACCCGTTAAGAGCAAGCCCGGAACCGGCCCGGAACCAAACCCGTACGGGTCCAAATAATACTGGCCCGAACCGGCCCGACCCACCCGGTTAACACCCATACTTTATATTCAGCCTCAGCGGAAGATAAAGACACCACAGGCTGCTTTTTAGACTTCCAAGAGATTAAGCTATCACCCAAAAAGACACAAAAACCAGTAACAGACCTTCTGGTGTCCGGGCAGGCTGCCCAATCACTGTCTGAATAAGCTGAGACAGTGAAATCAGAAGAGTTAGAGTAATAGAGGCCAAGATCAAAGATTCCCTTGAGGTACCTCAGCATGTGTAGAGCAGCAGCCATGTGAGGGACTCGTGGAGACTGAAGAAATTGACTAAGGTGTTGCACCCTAAAACAAATGTCAGGCCTAGTGTGAGTGAGGAATAACAACTTCCCAACCAAGCTCCTATACCTTTCAGGTTGAGTCAAGAGGTCACCAGCTTTCAGTTTGGAGTTCAAGTCAAGAGGACAAACAACAGAGGCAACCTCCAGGCAATCAAACTCCTTCAAAATATCAGAGATAAATTTCTTCTAATTGAGAAGCACACCATTAGGCAAAACAGAAACCTCAATCCCCAAAAAATAATGAAGAGTACCCAGATCTTTGATTTTGAACTGGGCATCCAAAAATGACTTCAAAGCAGCAATTTCAGCAAGATCATCCCAGTTAATATTATATCATCAACATAGACATCAATGATAACCATATTACCAGAAGAGCCTTTGATGAATAAGGAGTAATCATTAAGAGAATGAGCATAACCTCTAGAGTAGAGGGCTTGAGAAAGCTTGGCATACCACTGTCTAGAAGCTTGTCTCAAGACATAAAGGGACTTTTGTAAACGACAGACTAAGGGAGGAGAAGAAGAGGAGGAGGCAGTAGTGACAGAAAGACCAGGAGGAAGCTTCATATAGACCTCCTCATCCAAATCACCATGCAAGAAAGCATTATTAACATCTAATTGGTACAAAGACCAACCTCTCTTAACTGCAACATCAATGAGACATTTAACAGTGGACATCTTTACAACAGGGGAGAAAGTTTCATTGAAATCCACTCCCTCAACTTGGGTGTCACCCCTTATAACAAGCCTAGCTTTATACCTCTCAATAGTACCATCAACTTTATACTTAATCTTATAGGCCCATTTACAGCCAATAGGTTTCTTTCCACTAGGCAAAGCTACAATATCCCAAGTGTGATTGGCCTCGAGGGCCTCAAACTCTTTCCTCATAGCATCTTGCCAAGCTGGAATAGGTGCAACTTGGGAATAAGTAGTGGGTTCAAACATAGCATGAGGAGTCAAAGTACTGGTGCAAGAGAATGAGGGAGGCAATTGGCAGACATAATCAGTCAAGTGGGATGGAAGGGTATAAGGTCTGTCAGACCTTCTGAGTGGACCAGCAGTAGGAGGAGGAGCTGTTGTAATAGGAACAGGGGAAGAAATAACACATGGAGAGGTTGGATCAGAAAAAGGAGAAGTAATAAGAGCAGGAGAAAGAGAAGATGGTGCAAAAATAGGAATAGAAGGGGAAGAAGGCACAGGAGAAGCAGGGTCAGGATTGGGATGAATAAGATCAGGAGTGGGAGAAGTAAGAGGTAAAGAATCTGAAATATGAGAGGAAGGAGAAGGAGGGGGAAAAGTGACAGGAGTTTGTGGAACATGGGAGGAAGAAGAGAAGGGAAAGACATCTTCATGAAATACAACATCCCTGGACACAAGGAATTGCTTGGTTTTTAGGTTATAAAGTCTGTAACCTTTCTTGGCAAAGGGATAACCAAGAAAGACACAAGGCATCACTCTTGTTTTCAGTTTATCCCTATGAGGAATTGGTACAGTAGCATAGGCCAGACATCCAAATGTCTTCAAGTGAGAATAAGAAGGGGTTTGATTGTAGGGACTTCAAAAGGTGATTTATTGTGAAGGATCCTAGATGGAAGTCTGTTGATGATATAAGTTGCTGTGAGTAAACAATCCCTCCAAAATCTAATAGGAACCTTGGATTGAAAAAGCAAAGCTCTATAAGCCTCAAGTAAAGTTCTATGCTTTCTCTCAACTACACCATTTTGTTGTGGTGTATGAGGACAAGTAGTTTGATGGATAATGCCATTATCAGAGAAGTAAGAAATGGCAGAATAGCTACCCCCAAGTTCTAAGGCATTGTCACTCCTGATTGTTTGGATAGTAATGTGAAATTGAGTTTTGACCATGGCCACAAAAGCTTTAATCAAGGAAAATGCATTACTTTTGGAACCCATTAAATGAGTCCAAGTGGATCTAGAAAAATCATCAACAATGGTTAGAAAATATCTGGAACCAGAATAAGTAGGAGTGTGGTAGGGTCCCCAAGAATTCACATGTATATGTTGGAAGGGATGAGTACTATGAATGGAGCTATCAGGGAAAGGGAGTCTGGTTTGTCTAGCCATAGGACATATTTCACAAGGAAATTGTTGCTTGGAAGATAAAGAGGACGATATAGCAAAAATGCCCTTCATTCTAACAAAAGGAACATGTGCAAGTCTTTGATGCCAAACAATATCCATTTTACTCAGTGTAGCTTCATTACAGGATGACACAGATGAAGATAAAGAATTTTGAAAAGAACTAGAGTTACACAATGAATTAGAGCTAGGAACATCAATAGTAGAAGGTAAAGATGGAAAACTATAGGCAAAAGTCATAGTAGAAGCATTTTGAGCTGAAGAAGAGAATGCAGTAGTGCAGACAAACTTGTAAAGCCCATCCTCTAGTTTACCAAGCTCCAGAGGCATCTTCAGAGAAGGGCCCTGTAGCAAGCAAGAGTCAGAACTAAACTGTGCTGTGCATCTCAATACCAAAACAAGTTTGTGCACAGAAATCGGATTATGTTGAAAGAAGGAATGTAGAGAACATCTGGAAGAATGATGGAAGTATATAAAGAAAAAGACCCAGTGCAAGTAACTTTAACTTTATATCCATTAGGAAGTGTGACAAGGTAAGGAATAGGCAAAGGTGTAATGTTGGTTAAAAGATCTTTGTTATAAGTCATGTGGTCAGATGCTCCTGAATAAATAATCCACTTATGAGGTGAAGGCTGACTCAACATGCAAGCTAGAGAACAAGTCACTACTTTTGGAATGAGCACTTTACCAGCAAAGTTGGCAGAAGCCATGAAGTCAGACTGAGGAGCAGAATCAGGCTGGCGAGAATGTTGTAAAATGGCCATTAGCTGAGAATATTGCTGCATGGTTAAACCAGGTACCAATGAACCTTGTGTATCATTGCTAGTAGTCCCAGCAACAGAAGGAGAAGAAGAGTCAGAAGAAAGCTCTGCTCCAATAGTTGCATTTGCTGTAATTTTCTTTCCTTTGTTGAATTTGAAATCAGGAAGAAAACCATGAAGCTTGAAGCACTTATCAATTAAGTGTCCACTCTTCTTACAATATTTTCAGAATAGATTCCCTTTGGATTGATCAAAATTCACTCTTTGAATATATTGTCTCTGAGTGTTGGAACTAGGAGACTTATAATTTGTGTTGGGACTAGAATGATTATTGAAGTTGATTTTGGCAGGGAAGGCAGCTGAATCAGGGCCAAACTGAGAATTGGAGTTGATCTGCCTTTGCCTTTCATCTTGAAGAAGAATATTATATGCACTGTCTAGTGTTGGAGGTGGTTACATCATGAGCAAGTTGCTCCTGACACCAACATAGACTTCATTAAGTCCCATGAGAAACTGATGAAGTCTATCCTCTTCCTCCTCTTTGAGAATACCTTCTTTTGCACCACAAGTGCAGTGATATCCATGGTTTCTACGAACAACCCTCAATTCATCCCACGATTTCTTTAACTTGTTAAAATAAGATGCAATATCTAGGGAGCCTTGACAGGTAGAGGCAAGTTCTTTCTTAATTTCAAAGGCTTTAGTTCCACCTACTGTTCCATATCTTTTATTTAACTGTCTCCATATTTCTTCAGCTGTTTCAGAGTACTGGACACTATCCGCAATGTCAGGGGATAAAGAACTTGTTAACCATGTTATTACACCTATCGCATTGATTAGACTCTATTGAATTATCTGGAGGTTTAGGTAAACTACCATCTGTTGATACCCAATTTTTCCCTAGGTATTTTTTGTAACCAAAATACTTCCAAAATAGCATGTATGTGCATATATAAGCACACCCAAGAGTTTTGGTATTTTTAATGATTTTTCTAAACAAATTTTCTGCCGATTTTAATACCACAAAATCCAATAATTATTTCCAAAATTATCACTTATGGTGAATAACTTATTTCATTCTCATATTTACACCAAAATATAATTAAGGTGATTTTTGTACATTTTTATAAATTTACTTGGTATTTTTAAAGCTAAATTACATGTAATTGCAATTATAGCCTATTTTACGATTAATAGCATTTTATAATTATAAAATTATTTTCAGTATTTTTAAATTA